AAGGACCCCCAGAAGCACTGGCAGGTAAGGGAGGGGCACAAGGACCCCCAGAAGCACCCACGTACCCGCCCACTCCTCCCCTGGGTCCTTACTCGCAGACTCGGGGCATCCCTAAAGTCTCCGTATAACTTCCGCTTCAACACCCCCAAAATCGAGGAATGACGTGGGGGGGGGGAGGAGGGGCGACAACAACCAGGGGAAGAAGCCCTGGGGAGCGGGGGAGGGGGAGCAGTGTGCCCCGGAAGAGCCGCCGGCTTCCCCTCCCTTCCTCCCTCGCGCAGGCGCAGTGGGCTCGCCTCCCGCCCCCAGGCCCCTCCGTCGCGCAGGCGCAGTGGGCTTGCCTGCCGCTTCCCTCTCCCCTCCCCCCACGGAGCGCCCTCTTACCAGCGGCCGCGCTCTGGGCGGACACGGCCGGCCCGGACTGAGGCAGGAGCAGCGGCAGCAGCAGCAGCAGCAGCAGCGGCCCGAGCAGTGCGGCCGGAGCCGGGCCCCGGGGCTCCATGAGCAGGCGCTCTGCGGCCTCCGCCGCTCACGGACGCGGACAAAGACGGGGCCACAGGCGGACGCGGAGCCTTCTCGCCCCCGGCTGAGCCAATCTCAGCTCGCGACTGGGCAGGCGTGGGGCGGGGCCGTAGGCGGGGCCTGCGGGGGCGTCACCGCGCAGGCGCCAAACGCTCTCCCGAGAGGGAGGGGGGGGGGAAAGGGAGGGGGGGGGGAAAGGGAGGGGGGGGGGGAAGGGGGGGGGGGGGGGGAAGGGGGGGGGGGCGGTGTTTGCTCGGCTGGACCCTGAGCCCATTGTGTGGAGGGGGAGGCTGAGGCATCACGCGGGAGCGGGCGGGGAGTCATCTGACCCCCGGAAGGGCCCTCCAGCCTCCTAGCCTCGGACCCAGCCGTGACCCCCTTTCAGAACCGACCCCTCTCTCCTCCCCAGTCTCAGAAAGCCTGGGGCTGCCGCTTGAATACCGCCAGGGACAGGAGTCTCACTGCTCGCCGGGGTTCATAGGCCCAGAGCTAGCGGGGACCTGAGGGCTCCAGGAAGGGGAGGGGACCCCCACCCTGGCCAGCATTCAGGTGGTGGTGGGCAGGAGGCCTCTCCCAGCCTCGGTTTCCTTGTTTATAAAACGGGGATCATTCCATTGCCCTTGGTATCCTCTGGCCAGGAGGCCCGGCCTCCCTCCCCTGGAGCTCCTGGGGCCCCTCTGGAGGAGGAGTCCTAAGACTTGGCCGGGTCACACAACTCAGCTGAAGGTGCCTGCCATCCCACTCTGGTTTATTTTCCTCACAAACCTAAGTGTCCCCGAGTTCAGTTACTTGGATTCCGCTTTAGTGAGGTTTTCCTTCTGGCCTCCCCCCAGTGGTCTCTCTGAGCCTCTGGGCTGACAACGGGGCATTGGGAACTGACTTTGAACGCTGTGTTTTCCTCTTGTGCTTACTGAGCCATTTTCTTAAATATTTCAAGGTGGAGATAAGCTCGAAAGAGATAAGATTTCTTACCTTTTGAGGGGGTGGAGATAAGCATTTAGGCTCCAGAAGGAAAGGTCCCTAAGGTGAGAGAAAGTTCGGACCTGGCTTTTTAGACCAGGCCTCAGCACCCCCAGGAGGGGAGACTTGGCAGGGCGGTTGGTCTGGGCCACAGGAGCACATTCACTGGCGCCATGTGGGAAGGACGCCCGAGGGCCTTGGCCGGGAAGGAGTGGGTTGGTCTCAGGGAGTGAGCCAGGGCTCTGGGGCTTCCCTTTCCCATCACTCCCAGATGCTGCTCTGGGAGGCACCCCCCTGCTTCCAGGCAGAGCCCTGGAGCTTGTGGGGGGCACTTCCTCCCAGCCCAGGGTGCCCAGGAGGAGTCCTCAGATCCCAGGCCTCAGGAAGTGTCCCTCCAGGTGAGGACACCATTGACTCCAAGGTTTGGGGTACTTCAGGACTGGAAGGGCCCATCTGATGATAGGGGTGGGAAAACTGAGGTCCAGAGTGCTGTCCCCGTGGGGCCCGAGATTCCAGCCAAGGCTTCATCATCACCACCACGCCCAGCCTCCTCGCCTCCCACCTTCCCTGGTCACCTCGCTCCCAGGTGTCATACCCTGTTAGATGGGATGCCCCCCCTCCCCAGCAGCCTCAGCAGATTTGCCCTGGCCTGGGCAAAACAGGCTCAATGTGGCGTGACCTGAAGTACGATCTGCTCAGGCTGCTGGGGAGGCCTGCAGACTGGGCAGGATGAGGGCAGGAACAGAGCAGAGACATTCCATGGCTCCTAGGCCGGGAAGGGGATTGCTTCGATCTGGGGAGCGAGTGGAGAGATCGAGGGGGAGTGAGCGTGGCCTTCTTCCATCAGGCCCAGAGGTGGCAGCAGGCCATGGCTGGCTCCAGAGCTGCCCCCCAGCTCCCCCTGCATCCAGGATGTCCGTGAATTAGAGGCTGGGAGGCCCCTTCCTAGTGCCCACTTTAAAGTCTAGGCCCAACACTGGCTTGGTCAGCCCCGTTCATGGCATGCCAGTTCTTTCCTGAGCCTCGGCCCTGTTCTAAACAGGGTCAGAGAGGGTGGGGTGGGGGTATGAGGACAGCCCAGACCTCCAGAACTGACCCTCAGCAGATCATCTCTACCTCTTCCCCATCTCCCTCTCTGGGACCTGATCAGTGTGAGTGACTGGCCCCAGGGCCTGGAGAATCATGAGTGCACTCCATGCCCGGGTGTGTGCCCTTGGGTGCAAACCCCCCCCCCACCAAGACCCATGAGAGACTCGTAATAGACCCAAGTGGCCAGTGAGACAGACTTTGGGAAGCAAAATAACCAAGGTGTGTGCCCAATGCAGGCACCCGGGAGCACGGGGTTGGGTCAGGTCCCTGCCCTGTGGCCCCTTTTCAAGGAGAGAAGCCCTTTTCTAGTCAAGCTGCAGAAGGGTCAGAGCTGTGGGAGCCCAGAGCGACCTTGGGCAGAGGCGCTGCTGAGTATGCGCAGGCATCCTGTGCTGGCTCATTCCCATCGCCACTCGCTTGGTTTCAACCTGTTCTAACCCTGAATTCAGAGAAGACGGTGGACATGGGAAGCTCCTGGTTTACTGACGGATCACATGCTTTGTCAGTTCTAGGGCTGGCCAAATGTCCCCGCCAGAGGAAGGCCCCAGGACAAGAGGGAGTGGCCAGGCAGCCCAGGGGCCCTCTCCTCAGGAGCACAGGAACCTGTGACTGGGACCAGTCCTGGAAGAGAAAGAGAAAAGTCTCTTCTCTGGAAAAGGGTCTGTCTGAGATCAGAGGAGGTGGGCTGTAATAATAGTTAGTGCTTAGTGGGATGGAGCGTGTATTTCTTTAAACTTTGCTCTCAAAAGTATGGGATTTTGTTTGCAAAAAGAAATCAGAGACCAATCTGCTGGCATTTTAATAAAAGTTAAAAAAACAAACCAGAAGCACAATGAACTCTATTCAGGGTGTCCTTGTTTTGGCTCGGGTCCTTGCTTTGTGGGGAGAGGGGAGGACCCAGCCAGTCAGTATCTGCTACCAAACCACCGAGCCAGATTCCAGACGTGGAGCCTAATAAGACGTGGGTCGTTTCTAGCCAAACCTCGCCTATAAAACCTACTTCAGTATGACGGATGCCCAATGGGGGAACGTCCTGGGGGTCTGTACTCTCCCACATACAGCTGCAACACGGTGACATCACCAACCGACCTTTTTCATCTCCTACAGATTTCAGGGTACAAGCCACTCATCCATCCACCCATCCACACATCTGTCTATTCATTTTTCAGCACGACTGCCTAGAACTTCTAGATCATTCTGTCACATATTTTCAAACTCCACACCAGGTTCAATCCCCCTTAATGTCAGTAGTAGGCCCCGAGTAGAAGATGCAGGTGAAAGCTGCCAGGGTGGACAGAGGGACCCCTGAACGTCCATCAGACATGTGGGTGATGCGGAAAGAGACAGAAAATACTCTCCTGGTTGGCAAGGTGGGCATGCAGGAGTCACGGGCGAGGAGGTCTGACCAAATAGAATATGAAGGGAGATTTTTTTTCCGCCTTCAGGATTGTCCAGCTCAGCGCTCAAGGCCTCAAGGAAGGTGGAAAAAATTCCTGCTAGAGACACTGGGCAGGTCCTTGAGCCAGGTCCGAATCTCACGAGGGTCCAAATGACAGAGTGGGAGCTGGAGTGGCCTCGGTGGCTGCTGTGAGAGGCGCCTTCCAGGCTCCAGCCCGAGGTCCAGCGGCCGGCCCCCCAGGGCCAGCAACAGCTCTCCTGGGCAGATGTGGCTGTTTCAGAAGGCGACTGGAGGAGGGCTCTTGACAGCTTTGCAGCAGGAATGGGGGCCACCTAGTTCTCAGCAAACTTGGGATTCATAACGGTCGTTGTGGCGCTCTTGAAAAGGGGGTTATCCTGGGAAGAGATGTAAACGGGGACTCGGTCAGGGCAGGCAAACAGCTCAGAAAACAGACTTGGCTGTAGCATGGCTGCCAGGAGAACAGATGCTGCTCTGGAGGAGGGTCAGGGCTCGTGGGGTGGAGAAGACCTTTCTCTCCCCTCCCACCTTCTTGCCAGAGCGGGGAGACCATGGGGATGAACCACTCCCATGATGGGGTGGTTAGTTTTCTGGGACGGGTTTTTTCCCTTCTCTTCGGGGGGATGGCTTGGGTGGGGGGAGGCCAAAGGCGGACTCTTCTGCCCCTGAATCGCAGCCCATCTCATCTCCTCCAGAGGCTTCCGATGTCTGTCTCCCCATGCCCCGACATCCCTTGCGATCGATCTCTTCTTACCCAGCAGCTACTGCTCGGCCAGCTACAAATGTGCCCGGCTCTCCCCCATCCCTCCTCGACCTCTCCTGCCTTCATAGACGAAGGCTGGTGGTTGGCTTTGACTTCCGGCATTTCCCATCCCCCTCACTTCTCACCCCCTCGCTACACTCTGGCTTCTGACCCTGTAATGGGGCTGAAACTCCCCCAGGGTACCAAGTATCTCGCCAGCTCAGTGCCTGGCTCTCGTCCTCCCTGACCACCCTGCAGCATCTGGCCCCGATGACCACTCCCAGTCCCCAGCTCCAGCCCACTCCCGGCCTTCGGTGACAGGCCTCGGATCCTTTGCTGCCTCACCCCCTGTCTCCTGTGGCAACACTGACAGGCCTTGCCCACGTTTAAGGCACGTTGGCTCTGCCTGGGCTCTCCTTAGCTCCTCATGGAGCACGCTGCCCATCTCCTGGGCACAAGGAGACACAGATCCTGTGTGGGCATGGCGGGTGTGGGTATCTGTTCAGCTGAACCAAGACTCTTTCCTTCCCAAAGAGGCAGATATTGGTTAAGGAACAAAACCCAAACTCAGTGCTGGTCTTGAGAGGCAGGCAGGCTCCCCCTGGGCGCCTCAGCTCTAAACTAGCCCTCGGGTCCACGGTGCTCCGTCCTCTCTCTCGGCAATCCAGGGTCACAGGTGCAGAGGGCGTTCTCCTCAACCCTTGCCTCTCCCCTCAGCACCTCCCATCCCTATCCCTTCCTCTCCATGCAGCACATAGCTGCTCTCCTCACTTGGAGCCAGCGGCCATCTGGCTCCAATCCGTGTCTCCATCTGCCACGGAGCAACCCAAGCCCCTTTTCTGGAAGCCCAGGTCACTTTCCTGCTCAGATTTAGGGCCCTTGATGACCCAACCTCTACACCGCCATACTGTGTTCTGACCTGCCAAACCTGCTCTTCTCTGAACTTGGCATTTCTCTCCGGTCTCCCTACCTTTGTACAGGCTGTGTCCCCTGCCCGGGATGTCCTAATGGCCCTTTCTTCCAGGTTCTGCCCAAGGGCCACCTCCTCCAGGGAAGCCTGCCTGGATCTCCCCCATTGGGGCTCTTTTCCTCTTCAGACTGTCTTGATCAGACTTTCTGCTCTGGGCGAGTGCTGTGGCCCCCAGCAACCTGTCGGCCTCTCTCTCAAGGTGGGGGGGGGTGTCTAGCACATAGTAGGTGCTTAAAGAGCTGCTTAGGAAACAGCACTGTACAGCAGGCCCAAGGCTCTAGCACTCTGGAATCTGACCTTTGAGGCTCCTACTAAGAGTTGGGGACTGGGCAGACGGGGCGGGCACTCACATTGTTCCACTGGGACTTGAGCTTCTCCTTCTCAAACCGCTTGTATTCGTGGAGGTCGCTGAAGTGCGTCAGGACCTTCCAGATGGCTAGCAGCAGCACCCCAATGAGCACGACTCCGGCCACGGTGCCCGCCACGATGGCGAGGACGTTGGGCCCTTCTATGCATTCTGTGGATCAGAAGTGCCAGGGGTGAGGACAGAGCGCGCCAAGAGGGAGTGGCCCCACGCCCCCTCCCCTCCTGTCTCCCATGCCACGGCTCTCCCTGGGGGTCCGGGGGGGCCGTTCTCTTGGGGATCCCTGGTTCTGTCCCTTGGCCGTGGTGAGCACGTTCTCAGGATAAAAGCATCTCTACGTGCTTTGGAAGAACGCCCTCACAGCCTTGGGGGTGGAAGGCACCTCAGAGGGCCCCTCAAATCCAGAGGCTTTCTCCGTGCCGGGGTGAGCCCCGCAGCCCTAGACCCTCAGGAAGGGCAGGGTGCCCCAGGAGGCCTCGGTCCTTGCCTCGCTTTTCCTCCACATAGATCTGGTACTTCTCGTGCCCGTCCAGTTGGTCCATGATATAGGTCATCCAGCAGCCGTCTGAGTCCTGCTCCTTGCACAACCAGGGGTCTTTGCCAGGAGCCAGGGACTGTATCACGCCAGAACACGCCACGCTGCAATTCTCGGCAAAGGGGCCCGTCTGGAATTTCATGCACTCGGCACACGAGCTAGAGAAAAGCACACGGACATTGTGGCGTGATGCCGGCCTGCATCGTCCGGCTGGGATGCGGCCGGGGACGGGCCACATGCTGCCCGCTGGGCAGGCCCACGGAGGAATGCCATCCCATCCAGGCTCAGGAGCCAGTGTGGCAAGGAGCCCCGGCTGGGATTTCCCGTCACGCAGTGATTCGCCCGGTCTCAGCCCCCCGCCCCTGCGCATCCTTCACTCACACATAGCGGCTGCAGGGGGATGGGCAGCCCGGGCACTTCTGGCACTGTGGGCGCTGGTAGCCCGGGTCACACTTGCACACGTTGCATTCACACTTGCCGCGGCCACTGCACTCAGCGTTGCGGGCGTTCAGGCAGCCCCGGGTGGACTTTTCACACTGGCACGCGCTCCCTTCGTATTTTTCCTCACATTTGCATTTCCCACAGTCACAGCTGCCCCGGACTGAAAGCCCAGACATGCCCAGGTCAGTGTCCCTGGCCCAACTCTGCCCATTTGAGGGAGAGGGGCAGAAATAAGCATTTAGCTAGCACCTACTGTGTGCAAAAGGCCTTCCCACAATCCATCAGCTCTCACTAATTTTGCCTGAGCTGAGAGCCAGACAGGTGGCTACTTACTGTAGAGATAGTAAGGGCCCCTTTCTCGAGGTGACTTTTAGCAGGAAGACTAAAGGAAGGAAGGGAGGGAGGAGGAGCAGGCGTCACTAAGCACCTACTAAGGTCAGGCATCAACTTTCTCACTTGGTCCTCACAACCACCCTGGGAGGTAAAAGCTGTTATTATCCCCATTTTACAGATGAGGAAACTGAGGCAAACAGGTTAAGGGACTTGCCCAGGGTCACCCGGCTAGTCCCTGTCTGAAGCTGGATTTGAACATAGGACTACCTTGGTCCAGGCCCAGCATGCTACCCACTGCACCTCCTGGCTGCCTCTAATAGATGAATACGTCTTAACCCTGGGAATCCTTTCTCCTCGGCACATAAGGGCAAGTTGCACATGTCAGGGATGGCTCAGAACCTGCCACGAACACATGGGGAACACCTTCAAACCTTGCTGAGGGCTCGGTTCTGTTTTCCTCTTATCTTTCCTCTCCCAAGAACAGTGCTATCAAGTCTACCAACCATGCACCGGCAGACGCGTGGGGCCTCACCTGAGCCCCCGCAGAGCTGGCTTTCGTAGCGCTCACAGTTGACGTTGTCACACTCGCAGTATTTGCCGTAGATCAATTTATTGGGGATGTCGCTGATGTGGCAGGTGCACAAGCCGCAGATGCAGTCCCCCAACCCCGAGCACAGGACCGAGCTGTTGTCCTTCCGGCAGTTCCCCTCCAGCTCCTGGCTGCTCTTGCCGTGGGTCTGGCACTCACAGGTCTTGCCAATGTGACCCGGGTCACATCTAGGGGAGGGGAAAGGCACAGCTGAGAGGCCGGCTAGACAGGAGCTTGGGGGTCACCGGCTCCGGCCCCCTTCTAGGGCAGAGTCCTGGGTCAGCCAGGGAGCCGGGGCCGGGGCCTGCGGCTCAGTCTCCCCCTCCCCCGCCCCCGTTCAGCCCCAGTGGACACTCCCTGACCTTCCTGTCTGTGACAAGGTGAACCTGCCAGGACCCCTTCCCAGGAGCCCCTCGGTGTTCCTGAAGTCCTCTGCACACCTCACTCGCCATCCAAACTGGCCTCTTTGCTGTTGCCCACACCATCTCTGGCCTCTGCCTTTTATGGTCTCTTCTCATGCCCGGATTGCCCTCTCTCCGTTTGCTTTAAGACTCAACTCCAGGGCTTCCCTCTTCGACATGAGGACTCCCCTGCCCGGTGGCTGTCCGCAGGCCGGGGGCCCCCTGGGCATTTCCTTGGGATTGGGGCGTTCTCTCTCTCTCAGGCCTTCTGCTTCACAAGGCCAGGGCTGGGCAGGGGACTGGGCGTCCACCACCAACAGCCTCATCACTGCTGTGTGTCCCGCCCCATCTCCCCATCTCCTTTATTCAGGCTAGGACCGAGAAGGAGGCGTTAGGAGGTCCCTGTCCGAGAAGCAGCACTCACGTGCTCATCACCCACGGCCAGGCTACTTTTACCTCTCTTCTCTGGTACTCTGCCCTCTGCCTCATCTCCCCTCTCTCTGTGTGTCTCTGCCTGCCCGTCTCTCTGCCTGTCTCTCTGTCTCTGTCCATCTCTGCCCGTCTCTGCCTACCTGCCTGTCTCTCTGCCTGCCCATCTGTCGGCATGTCTGTCTGTCTGCCTCTCCGTCTGTTTCCTTACTCGCCAGCTCCTCTGTCACACCCTGCCTGGCGTCAGACTGACCCGGCGAGCTCAGGCCAGCGACTGCTGTGGTGAAGCTTTTCTGGGCCTAGGGCCCAGCAGAGTCATTCAGACTCAGAGGTAGGAGGGGCCCTCAAGGCTGTCAGAGGGTGCAGAGGCCCAAGGTCCCACAGCTTTTAATGACCAGGCCTGGAACTGAAGCCCTGAAGGCGGCACACGGCACCCCACCCCCACGGAAGAACATTCGAAGCTGTGCGGTGATGGTAAGGAGGGCTCCGTCACGGCAGGGATGCCGAGAGAAGCTGCGGGACGACCTCAGGCTGGGAGGGGAAGCCCTGAAAGTCTCCTCCAGTGAGAAGAGTCCCACTCCAGGACGGCGGGATCCTGCTGTCTGTCCTCACCAGGACGAGGGAGGACAGGCATTTCAACCTCGGCATGTGCGCCCTGTCATGGGATCCTGTGTGTGCACGCATGTGCACTGTCTGCATGCACGTGTATAAGCATGTGCATTGCGTGTGCATGTGTCTAGGTATCTAGAGGAGTGTTGTGTACAGCGCACGTGTGCACACATGCGTATATGTGCAAGTGCATGTGTGTGTGTATGGGTATGTGTGCGTGCATGCAGACGTGTGTGCGGTGCATTCACGCATGTGCAGTGTGTCTCAGTATGCATGTGGGCCTGTGTCTAGGCATCCACGTGTGCCGTGCTGCATGCGTGCACGTGTGTGCGCGTATCACGGGCTGCTCCGCAGAGCCCTGGCCCACACACACTGGCGCCCAGCTCCTCACCTGCAGATGCCACACTCCACGAAACCCTTGTTGTCACAATGCTGCCTGCTGAGCCTCTCCCCCTCACAGTCGCACTGGCAGAGCGGGAGCACCTGGACCATGACCGTGTCGGTGAAGCCAAGGGGCCGGATCGTGAAGGAGTGCTCCTTGATGCACTCGCTGGCCGTCACCTTCACCTGGAAGGTGATCTGAGAGAAGACCAAGGGTGGGGGGTGAGCCCCAAGCCTGAAGATGGATGGGGGTGGGGGGGCAGAGACCCCCTGGGGGGGAGTACAGAGACAGATGGGGCAGGGCCAGGGGAGCTCAGCAATGTGGCAGGAGGCCGGGTAGCCCAGAGACCCTTGAAGGAGAGCCTGAGGAAAGAAGCAGGGGAGGGCTCAGCCTCCTGGGCTTCCCAGCTGTGCAGGCCGGCCCGAGGCATGGCCAGGGAGACAGCCCTCTGGTCATTCACGTGCCTTCTCTCCCAGCCTGGCCTGAGCTGCCCTGGGGTGCACTGCGGGAGGTGGGGTACACCGTCTCTCTAACTGGGAGCAGATCCCCACTCTCTGCAGCATCTAGTTCACTCATCCATTTGTGTAAATTAAATTGAAAAGAAATGAAGGAGCATTTCGTTTCTCTCCCCCTTCCTCTTCCCTCAGTCGGGGGAGCCCACGCCTGCCTGCCTGCCTGCCTGCCGGTCATTGCTTATCTCTTTTTCCAAGGAACAGAACAAGACCCTGGAGCCAGTGTGCCCTCCCCTGCCCCCCATCTCAGCCAGCCCCTCCGGGCTTACCGGGAGGCAGCTGCTCCGGTGCTCAGGAGGCTGAAAGGAGCGGCCACCTCAGAAGAGATGGGAAAACCCGGGCTGCCTCCCCACACACCTGCCTGGAGGCAGAGCATTCCCCCTCACCCCACTGCAGGACTGCTCAGAACCCAGCCAGAGTCCCCGGGGACAGGAAAAGGGAGGCTTGGGGAGGGCAAAGGAGTCCCCTCGCCAACGTGACAGGCCGAGATCTGTGGCCTTGGGGGCTCAGCACCCAGAGAGAGGAAGGGTGGAGGACCACCCCAGAAAGCCGACTTGGGGGTCAGCTGGGTCTAGCAAAGCTCTTTGCAGGTTCTGAAGTTCAGAACAAAATGGAAATTTAAAAGAAAGAGAAAGGTGGGCTCAGAGGGGTCACGTGGCTGGGATTAAGCTAGTCTGCTTAGCCCCAGAGGGCAGACCCAGCCAGGAGGCACCGAGGTCAGGAAAAGGCCTAAGGGGGAGAGCTGCCCATAAGCGGTGGGAGGCCTGCTTCCTCAGAGGCCTTCATGTCAAGGCTGGTGACCATGGGGGGGGGGGGCGGTAGACAAGAGGCAACCTGGAGCTGGGCCTGGGGTCAGGAAGACCTGGGACCGGGGTGAGGCACTTAACCTCTCTGCCTCAGTCTCCCAAACTGCACCACGGGGACACAGACAGCATCGAATTCCCGACGCTGCGGCGAGGACCCAACGAGATCACCATGGCACAGACGAAGGGCTCTAGAAACGCTGGCTATCACTAAATTATCACCTCTGAGGTCTCGGGAGTTGGGGAAATGTGTCCACAAGAGACAGTCATTTTCCAGGGGCCGGGAGACCCCCTCACTCCCCCAGTTTTGCCCCTGGTATGTCTGTCCAAGAGAAGAGTTGTGGCTCCTCGTCCTCCCCCAATCTGTCCCAGAGATGGTGTGGCATTTCCCGCGGTTCCCATGCTGCAGGAACACAGGACAAGGCACAGTCGGGGCTTCTTACCGGCACGTTGATCTGAACTCCGTCACAATCTCCTTTGGGCTGGTCCACACTTGACTGGCCATTGCTGCAGAAGGAGTCATAGGTGACCTTCAGAGTGTCTGGGACGATGCTGTGATCCACAAAGACTCTAGAGGACAATTTCTGGGGGCAGAGAAGGAACCATCAGCGGGGCAGCCTGGCCGAGGCCCTGCACTCTGGCGCTGAGGCAGTGGGGCTGTGGACTCCCCTCCAGTCTGATGTTCCGGGAAGCCCTCCTCACACCCCCCTAGGGGTCACTCACTATCACCCTCTGCTAGCCAAGGGGCTCCTGGGGATTCCCGACCCTGGGTTTAGGCTGGCCTGCCACCCGGTCACCTCTAGTGGCATGGCTGGGGCTCCCAAGTGGCCTTCCTTGCTGGTTACTGTGGAGGGACGCTTTGTGGGGACAGAGAGGAAAGGGAGCAGTGCATGGGAGCTAAGCTGTCCCACTGGGGCTCTGTGTGACCCTAAATGACACCATGCCAGCAGCAGGCCGACTTACGTTGTAAGCATTCTTAATAAGCTGGACCACGTTACTGGAGTCGTCGGACAGCTCCCCAACAGCTGACTTGGGAATGATCTCTGTGAGTTTCTGTCAATTAAGGAAAGGAACATGTGACCCGGTGGAGTCAGTGACGTCCCAGCCCCCCCAGGGCTTGCCCCCCCCATCTGCCCACACCCCAGGACCTTGGGAGCACATGGGCCAGCCAGGGGTCATGCACCCACACACTGGAGCAGCCACCCTGCCTACATCCGACCCCCAGCACACCGCAGAGGCTTCATAAATGCTGACTGCACTACGGAAGCTGGCCTGCCCACCCTGTCCGGGGCCCTTTGCCAGCTCCCACCATGGCTGGTAGAGCGAGCTGCCCACTGCAGGCTCCTTGCACCCCGGCACACTGGAAAGAGCCCCGACTCTAGAAACAAGCCCTGCGCCCTCGGGCAAGTTCATCCCCCTGAGTCCTGGGGCCTCAGTCCCCTCCTCTGTGAAGTGAGGCTGTCAGACTGGGCCTGTTCCTCCCTAAGCCAGCCCCTGAATAATGCTGCAGCCCCTCCCAGGACTGGCCCTGGGGCCCTGCTCTCTCTGAGCTCCTCTCTGGGAAGGGGCTCCACCCTGCCCAATGGAATGATGGGGGATGCTGGAGCACATTCGGACATCCCCTCCACCCCACGGACTGCTCTTTGGCAGCGAGGGGCTTGCTCTGAGCCTCAGTTTCCTCATTTGTACAATATGGGGCTGGGATGAGAGGCCGCCGGTGGGGCAGCAGAGAGATGGTGTCCCGGGCTTGAGACCCAACTTCAAATCCTGCCTCAGACATTCACCAGCCTCAGTTTCCTCATCTATGAGATAATGAGGTTCCTGCTCTCAATTCATGGTCCTCTAACTCTCAGGTCCCTGAAGATGCTCAGTTTTAGGACTTGGAGTCCAAGCCAGACTCTGACCCTAAATGTGCCTCTCCTGTCCAGAAGCCGAGCCCATCTCTAGCCCACTGAGGGCCTCTGGAGGTTGGGATGCAGCCAGAGGAAACCAGGGTTAGTGGCTGGCAGCCCCTCCCCTCACACCCCCTCCCCTCACAGTTCACTCTCCTCACACCCCCTCCCCACACAGCCCACTTTTTCCCCTCTCCTCACACCCCCTCCTCACAGCCCACACACCCCCTCCCCACACAGCCCAGAGCCCCACCCCTCACAGCCCCTCCCCTCGCAGCTCACTCCCCTCACACATCCCCCACAACCCTCAGCCAGCCCAGCTCGGACTCAGTTGGGACACTGGGCTGTTTCCCGTCTTTGTTGGGTTGAAAGGGCAAAGGCTGTATATGGGAAGGATTTTGTCCACACGGCGGCAGTGAGAACTAAAGCCCCTGAAGGATCCCGGAGTGTGGGGGAAGCCCTCCTGAAGGGTGGCCAACAGAATGGGGGCCTGTCAAATTAACCCTAACAGTCGTGGTCTTCGCAGAGGCTGTGCCTCCCAAAGCACTCGGTGTATTTTTGTGTGGTCTTCACAACAACCCTGGGAGCTAGAGTTATCACCCCATGTCACAGATGAGCAAACTGAGGCAGAGGGCAAGTGACTTTTCCAGGGTCACCAAACTTGGAGTGTCCAAGGCAGGACTGGTACCAGGGTCTTCCTATCCCAGCCCCTCGACTTACTTCATATGTGGAGACCATTTTTTTGGTCACAGCAAAGATGGGCTGGATGTTGTTCTCAGCTAGTTTCTGTGCCAGCTGTCCCACGGAGGGGTAGTCCTAGAGAGAGACAGAGACAGAGAGGGAGAAGGAGGGAGCACGCACAATAAGCATCGAAATGAGCTTGTTGGGCGCCTGCCCAGACCCTCAGCCCTCAGCTTTCTCCTGGGAGATGCCGGACTATGATGACTCTCTGGCCGTGGCTAGGGCCCACACCCAACACTCCCTGAGCCCAGGAGCTCACTGGCCTCCTTTCCCAAGAAGAGAGGCCCCATGGGGCCTGTGTGGGACCTGCTCCCTGGCAACAGTGGCCTGTCCCCTTCAGCAGCTGCCCGGGACAGTGGGAGGGTCATGCAGCCAGCAGAATCAGAGGCAGGACTCAAGCCCAATGCCAAGGGCCCACATCTTCATGGCTGGGCAAATGAACATTAACACAGCTGTGGGCACAAGGCCTCTTCTTTTTTTCCTGTCCCTTTCTGTTTTTGTCCTGGTGGCGGATGGACGGACAAGATTCACAACTCTATTTTCATTAGCCTCTAACTGAAATTTGGCATTTCCTTGAATTAAGAATGTTAAAAACTCTGTGTTTCTGCAATGGGCTCTACAGGACCCCAAGGAAGGTGGGGAGCCCTGGGGTCATGGGCCCAGCATATGGGAGCAGAGCCTGTTTCCTCCCTGCCCCGGCCCTTGCCCCAAGACTCTGCCCCATAGGCCTTTCTCAGCTAGACAGCTCGAGGCCAGCCAGAGCTCCAGAAAACTGGTCAGTTCTAGACTGGCCCTTGACCGCACTCATTTCTCCTGGAATCTTCCCTTCCCTCCTCTAGGCCATATTCCAAGATGGCACCGTCAGATGTTGCTGCTGTCCTCAGTGCACGGCCCAGGAGCTTCGCAGGAGAGAGCGGGGCTGGGGCAGGGGCTTCAAGGCACTTACAAACTTGTTGCTGTCCTGGTACAAGTTGTCCTTCAGGTGACAGCGTCCATCATTCGGGGTGAGGATGGCGCCAAGTTTGCCGTCTCCCGCAAAATGGAAGCCGTCGTCAGTGGTGTATACCAGCAGACGAGTCACGTTGCGCCAGCCAATTTCATCCTGAAAAGCGCAAGGCCGTGATTTTCTGGCTGATGGACCCCTGGCGCACTTCCGCTACCAGACCAGTTGGCCCCAAAGAGCAGATGGTCAGCATGAAGGCAACTTGGGCGTTTGAGGCCCCACACGGCCTGTGAGGCCCATAGGGAGCCAGTGTGGTAAAGACTCTTCTGGTCCCTCCGAACACCCCTGCTCCCTCCCTCTTGGTTATTTCCTGTTTCTCCTGTCTAAGCTTGCTTGTTTGCTTGTATCCCACTAGATCGGAAGCTCCTTGAGGGCAGGGGCATCTTTTGCCTCTTTCTATATCCCCAGTGCTTCGTACAGTGCCTGGCACATAGTAGGTGCTTAATAAATGCTTATGGACTGAAGGTCCAGGTGGAAAGGAGATGGAAACTGATGGCAGAGTAGGGCTTATGCACTGTCAGTGTGCTTTGACTGGCCCCTCCAGCCCTGCAGCACTGGGTCACCTTGCCTGGAGGTGCTGGGGACCTGCCCGAGAGCCCTCTGGCCCATACTTTCTGGAAAGGGAAGTGCAGTGCCCACCTCTGGCCCACGTGTACAGGTACTTGGGGAGAGCCCATCCGTAGTCCCAAGGTTGGATAGGAAGAGTCAACAGGGAGAAGGGGGGATGGGAGCAAGTAAGAGATGGAGCTGGATCTTCAAGCCCAGGGGATGGCGAGGCGTGTGGGAAAGGTGGGTGACTGAAGGGAGGGGTGGCAGCCAGCCATGGTGCCGGGGGACCCAGCCAGTCTATCCGCCAGTGGACCAGTGCAAGTCTGAGGGCTGATCCCCGGGGACCCAGAGCATGGTATCTTGTCAGAGAAGTCATTCATTCTTAACTTGGGGTTGTATGTGGCCTGCAGGCACAGAGCGCAGGAGATGAGGGAGCCCATGGCGTCCAGGGGCACAGGACAGAAGGGAGGGAGCATTGCCATCCCCAGAGCAGCAGCAGGGGAGAGGCAGCCAGGAACTGCCAGGGTAGGCAGGGAGACAGGCACTGCCCCCTCCCTCATTTTGCAAATGAGGAAACTGAGGCCCTGGAAGGGACCTAGGTCCACATCCTCACTGTGTGACCTGGTGAGTCACCAGGGTCACAATGCTGGCACTGGACTAGACATGCCCCAAAGGCCTGCCCGTGCCGCCGACACCCCATGCTTGGGCCCTGGTGTCTGGCCGGGTCAGGACCTCCACCACCGCCCACGTCCTGTCCCTCAGACAAAAGCCTTCGCCTGCCCCTGAGTGCGTGAGGGGCCAGTGGGGCCTTTGGCCATCAGAAGGTTCTGCTCCTTCCCACCTTTCTGCCCACCTCTGGGGGGGGGAGCCTGACGGCAGAGGGCAGCGTTCCCAGGGCCATGCTCGGCACCTGCCACTGGAGCCCAGCAGGGAGGGATGGTCCAGGTGAGTGGGCCCCAGGCCATACTTACCTGGCAAACAGCCACCTGCATCATGGCATCCAGCCCCCCCTCAGGGGCGTCCAGGTTTCCAGAAATGAGCTGCTTCCCGACCTCACTCTGAAACTGGTTGGAGTTATCAGTGAGCTTCAGCACGTGCTTGAAGGCGAAGGGGGGCTGGCACTGGGTGTCCTTGGTTGGGCAGGGGTGCTTCAGCTTCTCCGGGTGGGTATTGACGAAAGGCAGCACTGTCTTGTCCACAAAGGAGCCAAACCCTGCAGGGAAGCAGAGAGCAAGGTGACAGATGGACGTCGCCCTGGGCCAAGGCACAGCTGGGCGTGCAGGGGCCTGGCGGAACACAGACCAGCTGCTGCTGCACCAGAGCTCACAGACAACCGCCAAACGGCCCCTGCCCTCAGGGAGCCTACATTTCACCAGATGCGACAATGTACATGCAGTATGATCTGAGGGGGAATCAGGAAAGGCTTCATGGAGGAGAGGTGCCCAATTGGACCTCAGAGGAAGCTCTCGCTTCTAAGCCTGTGGGATCAGAAAGAGGCCTGGGAAAGGGCGCAAAGGGGGGACACTAGAAGCAAGCAGCCTTTGGCAGCCGGGCTGGTGAGGCCCATGGGTACCTCAGAGCTGGGTGCTGAAGGCATAAAAAGACGCACAGTACTGCCAACAAACCGGTTATGTTGAGGTCTGGTTTTAAAAGCTTAACCCAAGTTCTGGTTCATGGAGCCTAGCTCTAGAGAACGGCTGTCTGGCTGGAGGGAGGGCAGCACCCATGCCCTCTGGCTGGAGGGTGGGCCCGTGTGTAAAGGACACATGTAAGTGTCAGCATGACTGGTGTGGACAAGCTGCTGCTAGTACCTGTGAAGGGAGTGTCGTCGCTGAGGAGTTCACAGAGTTAGTAACTATGCACGTTAGGATGACAGAGTCCTACCAAAGGTTCTTCATCCTGGTCATAAATAGCCTCCCTGACCTTGGCACCTGCAGCCACGTGAGTCCTTCTTTTCAAGGGCTCTGGAGACTTCAGGAAGTGCAGGGAAAGAAATGCCCTCGGTCCTTGCTGTCCTCAGTGGCCTGGAGTCTGGCCAGGAGTCAGCCTCGTCTGCGGTTCTGTGGGGCATGGCCTGAGCCTGGAAGACTAGGAGATCCCCAGAAGGGAAGGCACAAGGCCACTCAGAGAGGGACAAGAGCCGGACTCAGAGAGGACGAGGGACTGAGCCAGCTGGCACCTCTGGGGAGGGTAAGAGTGGTGGATGGCCCTGGATTCAAATTCCACCTCAAAAACTCATCAGCTGGCGTGACCCTGGGCAAGTCACATTACCCCCTATGCCTCAGTCTCCTCATCTGTAAAACAAGGGGGATGGACTTGATCTCCTTTAGCATCCTTTTGAGCTCAAAATCACCGAACCAGTAACGATCCTGTAAGCCCTGCCCCTGGGGCTGGGGCTCCGTGTGTTGACATCCTGGGACCACCGTGGCCAGCAGAGGGGAGACACACGGGGGGGAGGGGGCAGCGACAGGCCAAGCAAGCAGCCGGGAAGGACCCCCGGGGGGGGCAGCGACGGGCCAGCTGCGAAGGACCCCAGCTGGACAGCTCCTCCCACTGCCCTGGGCAGAGATGTACCTATGCGGCCAGACTCGGTGATCTCATTCAGTGCCCGAAGCAGGTCACCCCCCAGCTTCTTCACGTTGATCAAGTCATCGTACATAGAATAGGACAGGTCCATGAGGTAGTACAAGTCGATAGGGTAGCCCTTGGCCCGCCTGAAGGTGAGGTTGAATGCTGCCGTCTGACCTACCGGGGAAGACAAGCAGGGGATTGGTTGTGCCAGGCCTCCTTGGAGGACGGTCATCGCAGAGCCACGGCCAGCCCGGCCACCACTGCGAGGCGTGCCCCACAGCTCACAACTCCCTGGGCTCTCCTCTACAAATGAGCATGGCTGCTCTGCTGAGGGCACCTCTCCCAGAGCCTGCCCTCGGCTTCCTCAGACCAGCTTGTCACACCCTGGCAGCCACGGAGGAAGACTTCTCTTCCCCCTTTTCTGGGCCTGCACTGCGCTGTCAGCAGCTGGGACTGAATCACAAAGGGCTAGGAGTGTGGGACCCCACATTCCAACCCAGGACTCTGTCTTCCAAGCCATGGTTTTGGACAAGCCATAGAAGAGTGAACCACCTTCCATCAAAAGCCACAGAGCCCTACAAGTCAGTCTGTCAATAAACATTTAGTAAACACCTACTATGTGCCAAGCACTGAGCTGATTCCCTCCCTCCTGTCTTTTTTTTTTTTTAAAGGCAATTGGGGTTAAGTGACTTGCCCAGGGTCACACAGCTAGTAGATGTCAAGTGTTTGGTCTGAGGCCGGATTTGAACTCAAGTCCTCCTGACTTCAGGGCCAGTGCTCTATCCACTACACCACCTAGCTGCCCCTCCTCTCTTCCTTCCTAAGAGCCTGGGATCTGGAGGCAAAAAAGGCCTCTGATGTTACTACCTGGGGAACCTTGGGCCAGGCTTTTCCCATCTCTGAGCCTCAGTTTCCTGATCTGTAAAATGAAGGACTAGACTAGATGGTTTCTGAGGCCCTGCCTACCTCTAGTTCCCTGACCCTTTGACCTTTAACCTTTCTTCAGTGCCTACTGAGTGCCAGACCTGGGGAAGATTTGGCATTTGGATAGAACACAGTTCTTGTCTAGAGCTCGGCCATTGTGGGTGATCAGGAACTTGCACCTGGCCTGCTCAGGGAGGTGACTGAGCCCTGGGCCCATGGGTGCCCGTGAGGGGGATCCTCGGAGGCCAAGGCCCCAGGAGGGAAACGCTGAAAGCCCCCCAAAGCCCTCGCCCCACCTGGCCGCAGCCGGAGCTGTATATTCTGAGGCGTCAGCTGGGATCTCTTGGTGCTAGGTGGGTCAGGTCTTGGGCTGACCACGCTGTGGGGATTCACTATGTCACTCTCCTGGCAGCCACGCTGCAGGAGCTGCTGTCTGGTGTCACAGCGAATGGAGTCGGGCTCTCCTCTTTCAGCAAAATTCTGGGGAAAGAAACCAAGGGACAGACCAGAGGGATGAGAAGGGAGAGATGCACTGACAATCCTGGGACACCAGCTGGGCCCAGCCAGGAGGAAGAAGTCTGTGGCAGGCAGGACCCGGGACCCCAGTGACTGGCACCAGGCAGCGGGGACATTGCTACTAACCCCCCCTCAGCCCCACCCCCCAACCAACCAACCAAAACCTGGAGCCCAAGAGAAGGGCCCAGAGCCTGGGGCAGGGGGCCGGACTGAAGCATTTAAGGCTGGCCCTCTGCGTCCAAGGCTGGCCCACCGTGTCCAAGACTGGCCCTCTGCGTTCAAGCCTGGCCCTTCTGTGCCTAAGACTGGCCCACCGTGTCCAAGGCTGGCCCTCT